CTGTGGATTTGCCCTAACCCCAGATGTTGTGCCCGGTGCGGCCGGCCCCCCCTGCACCCCCCACGCTACACCACTGTAGATTGGTAATGTACGAAGTGCTGCTGGTATGTTATGAAGTAATCTCATGTGCTTTTTACAGTTGTAGCTTCCTTAACTGATATTTCAGCTTCCTCAAAACTGTTCTCAACCCCTAAAAAGGAGCACTATTCTGTTTTCTTCCTCCTCTCTTGCAATGTTTGAGCCTATATCTGATCAGCATCTAGGAGAGAGTGTTTTGAAAGTAAAATATGTGCTTTTAGGGAACAGCTCCTTTAATTTGTTGATAATTGCAAGTGTAGATATTATCTCCGTTCCTTTGACATCATACCCGTGGTTTGTTTATATACTCTTTCATTGGTGATTTCAGGTCGGTTGTCAAAATAAAATAATAAATACATATAAGACAGACAGATAAACTACAAAATGAAGAGTGTAAAGTACTGGAGATGGTCATAATGTTTTAAGTGTCTGCATAAATGTTTTTGCCTGGTGTCGAAAAGACAGCAAAGTTGGTGTCAGGCATACCTCCCTGAGGGAGGGCATTATGTTTACATGCCTGTTACCCATAATTAATGCTAACAAAAGTTCTCTCTGTTAGAGTTCACAAACCTGCTTCAGATACAGCAGTTCATACTCCCTTTATTTGCCAGCCTTAAGGTCTTCTGAGTGTTGGAAGACTCAGGACAGACAAAAGAAATACTTCTTCACACAGTGTTAAATTAAACAATAGGGTTCACTCTCCCCAAAAGTAGTGGTGGCAATGAGAATTGGGCATTCATGGAGGATAGTGGCTGTTAGTCATGATGGCAGTGTTCTGCCTCTGTGTACCATTTGCTGGGAATCGCAAGTGGGGAAAGCGCTGTTACACTTAGGACATTTTTGTGAGCATCCTGTAGTCATCCGGTTGGTTACTACAAGAACTGGATGCTGAACTAGATGTACCAGCTCTGCTTTTCATCTAATGACCGTGCCAGCGAGCTTGAAGGAAAGATGTGTTGGACTGTGCTCAAGTGAGAGATTTGAAGAGTAGTTGCAGATTGAAACTATGAGTATTTTGAAGGAAGAAGTGTGTATCTGAAGAACTGTGCATGCACACGAAAGCTCATACCAAGAACTAACTTAGTTGGTCTTTAAGGTGCTACTGGAAGGAATTTTTTTGTTTTGACTATGGCAGACCAACACGGCTACCTATCTGTAACTTGAAGGAGGGGATTATTTATGTTTCAATAAACCTTCAAGGAGCATCTCCTTTCCAGCCCATAGTGACTCAGCCTGAGTTGTTTGCAGTGGCAAATTGTCACATTGTGAGAGAAAGAAAAAAAAGCAGAAGTGAAGTAACTAGATGTACCAGATGTACTAGATGTAACTAGCAGTAACTGTAAAAATAGTGTGTTTTGGTGTGGTTGCTTCACTTGTTTCCTCAATTCACCATACCACCCAGTGTGCCATCTTGCTTTCTCCAAGGCACTGTCTGTTTCTTAAGGGAGATATCGCATTTTCATTACTCAGTGGCCATGTTCATGGTACTGTCAGATTGAATAAGCTACTGGAAATTTATTGACGTTCTGTGCAGCTGAGAAGCAGGATATTAAATCTTAAAAGACTTAGAAATATAATAGATTTTATTGAAAATAATAAAAGTTGTTCTGAATTTAGCATTTTGGTCATACTGCTTAATTCTGTCTTCATTATCCATGCATATAAATTTGTAGTCTAGGAGCTAATCTTTCAACAGACTTACTGCGTGTTTTATAGGCTGCAAGTCTACACTATGATTAGTACAGTGGTACCTCGGGTTAAGTACTTAATTCGTTCTGGAGGTCTGTTCTTAACCTGAAACTGTTCTTAACCTGAAGCACCACTTAAGCTAATGGGGCCTCCTGCACCTGCCGCGCCACTGGAGCCCAATTTCTGTTCTTATCCTGAAGCAAAGTTCTTAACCTGAAGCACTATTTCTGGGTCTGTAACCTGAAGCGTATGTAATCTGAAGCGTATGTAACCCAAGGTACTACTGTATATCCAAAGGCTGCTGATGTTTGGTTGATGAACAAGACAAGAACCAGTGCTAGTAAATGTTTTTGCATTTGTATAGTTGTAGGTTCTCTTAACATATACATGACAGCCCTTTAGATATTTGAAAATGGTTATCATATTTCCCCTCAACACAGTGAGATGAACTGTTGATGCAACAAAACATGGTACACAAACATGCATATAGCTTTTGAGGAGCTAGCTATATGTTGTGCAAAATTGCATAGAGCCTTGATCCCACTATTTAAAGAGAGACACAGACTCTTTTTGTGGGGGGATTTGATGGAAGTGGTGTGGGAAGGGATGCTTAACCTTTCCCTACCTGCTCTTTTGACTTGGAGCTTTTCCCACATGGAGTTAAAGATGTATATTTACCTGCATTTAGAATCCTGGATGGTGGGAAGCCACCCAAAGCCCCACCTCCATCGGTTTATTTTAATTTTTTAAAAATGACATGAGTGCTTCATCATACATATTTGTGTGTTATGTGTCTTTTACTCCAGAATTGGGCATGATCCAGTCCACTGTGGGTACATTGCCCATATTGAGCACAGTTGATAGTATCCAGAGGGAGAGCTAGATGTGACTATGGAGTAAATGCAGAGATTTCCTATTCACTCTGAAGTTCCATAGTGCTGCATTTACACACTTTTTGTGCGTTTACAGGTAGATGGTGGGTGGGAAACAGGGCTCCATTGAGACTTACGTGAATACAATGTGGGTGTTACACCCACAATGGACCAGATCAAGCTCCTAAAATTTAGGCTACCACATCAAATATTTTAAGTTCAAATTGTAAACTTGCTGTTGGAAAAAAGTAAAGCCATAACTTTACAAAGATAATCTTATTTTTGAATTTCTGTTTGGTCCGCTGTTTGCCCTCAAGACCTTCAGCTGTAATGCAGACACCCTTTATAGAGTATAATATTAGTGCAGCATCTCCAGCCAGCCCTCTGTGACCTTTATGCTTTATCACCTTAATCAAGCTACCTGCTTGACATTTTTAAAAGAAGATTTTTTCTCTTCTTGGCAGTTCTTGATGTGTATGGCATTATTCTTTAACTATAGATAATTTCCTAGGAATACGTGCATATTAAGAAGATACAAAAGGTCGGAGAAATCGTGAGCACTATTCAAAGCCCTTCAGAGTATTGCATTATAATTTGTAGCTCAAAAACCAAATGGTTTGCGCTAAAGTGCTGCAGCTGGAAAAATAGTCAAATCCATCATTTGATCCTGATCCATAAGTCTCTTATCTATGATTCATAAATTTTGTACAGGCTTGGTAGCCAGTTAAAATTTGTGCTAAAGGTGGGGAGCAGGATCTTGATTGTGATGTCACACTGAGTGCTGCTCTACAAGAACCAGCCTTTCCCCGGACAGCTTCAAGCTGAGAGTGGTGGACTGTGGTTCATTTTTGTTTTTCTGGTCTTCTGAGAGGCTCAAAAGGTAGCAAGAGATTTCACTTATTCAATGTGAAGTTTGCAATATCTCTTCTGTGCTTAGAGAAAGGGGAGGCGGAAGGTGCAAGGCATTGCACTGTCTCTAAAAAGGATTGCAAAGCAGTGAGGCATATTGTCACTTTTCAGTACTTCAATCAGTGTGAAGTCTGGTAGGAGGTCTTGCAGGAAAAATATGTGCTTGTCAATGGTGAGCTGGCAACCATTCTCACATTTTTATCATGTGAACCCAACATTAAATATAATAAATAAGTTAATTGTGTACTGCATCTATAAAAATCAGTTCCCAGCATCATGGGACTCGGGACTCTCAAGGGAGCTTCGCAGTCTTACCTCTTACATTCCACACAGTCAGTTTCATGAAAGGCATTTTGCTAGTAATAAATTGGTAATGGAGGCTATGTGTGAACTCAACCCAAAACAGCCAACAGAAGATTCAGAAGAAAGACATGTAGTATTAAACAAGTGATTCCTCTGAGGAAGAAGAAATCTCTTGATTTATGGCAGTAGAACATTCTGCAAAACTCAAAACTGGCTGAAACATATAAATACTTTTTCTGCAGGGCTTAATATTGGGCTCCATTCCTAATACTTTGTTCCCTGTTGTCTGGGATCTGTATCTGCTACAGTGTGTATGTATCCACTCTCTGGATCAGCAACAGGAATTCTGTCATAAGGAATATATTAGTATATTTATTCATATGAAGTTATAGCAGTCTTAATAAAGATCTTTATCTGACCACATGTTATTCTTCAATAGCCCACATGTAGAGAAGATATAAAAATCCATTAAATGCCAATGTAGTATTTTAAAAATGCTGGATGTAGCAACTGGCAATTGGACCTGAACACTGCAGTCTTTGCTGCTTTTTTTGTAGTATCGCAAATAAGCAAATTCTTCCAATGTAGAAGCCATATTTATTTCAGGATTAGATTTAAGACTCCACTTTGAAAACAAACAGGAAGGGGAAATGTTAACTATTTCAGAAAAGGAAATGATATGCATCCACTTCTCCCTTTTATACATGAGACTAGATAAATCATTCAGATTTGGCACGCGAATTACCTGTCCAGTAATTCCTTGCAGCTGTGGGAGGTCTGATGTGCATACAGAGCTCTGACCCCTTACCACAGCTTCCCCTTCCCTTTCAGTAACATCTCTGTGTAGAAGACATGACTATGTAGAGCTGCCCTCTCTTTCAAAATGATTGGAGAAGTCTGTTTGTTTAGGTGCCTTGGTTGTTTAAGTCTGGATAGGAGTGCCAGCTGAAATTTTAGTTAAGCATGCAAACATTAGCACTGTTTTTAAAAGTTCTTATACTCTGTTAATATCTGTCTATGTTTGTTTTACATATCCTGTAAGATGCACTTCCTCAAAAGGAGGGTTACTTTTGTAATTGCTACTTTTTATGTCACATGTTTGGATACGCCTGTGTTTTCCTTGTAAAATTGCTATTCTTTTCCATTTAGGCCTCAGGGTAACTATGTTGCTGACATCATCCCTCATGGTGGTAGGAGCTGGCCTGAGATGTGTTCCTGTATCAGACCAAGAAACAAGGAAATGGTGAGAGGTTTATTATTTGTTCTTTAGTGTGTGGGGAGGGGGACCCTTCCAAATTATCTTGTCTCAATACGACTGTGGTGTAGCTAAGGTGATAACCGGTAGCAATTGGAAGATGTTGAAGTAACCTAGTTGAATACATTCTGCAGTTTAAATCTAGTTTTCTACCATGGAAAGCTACATGAGAAAAATCCCATAAAACCATTCTAATGGCATTTTTTTCCCTTAGGGCTGAATAAGATTATTTGCGAGATACAGTACTGTATGTAGCATCCAGCTACTAGAGGCACCCCCCCCCATGTGCTACCTTCTAGATAAGGACCACCCCCTTTCCTGACCACCGGATATTCTGAGATTTGAAAGGGTTATGAAGACTGGCCTCTTAGCCACCTTCTGCCTCAGATGCTCTAATTTTGCAAGCTGTTAGGTCATGCCCACAATACTGTGGTTCACCAGCAACGGAAGTAAAACTTGAAGGAATTTGTCATGGTTTAAACACAACAAAAGAATGAATATGTAGCTCTGCATGTGTGAGGACCATTAAAATATATTTTCTGACTCCCAAGTGTCTAGAGCAGGGGGGGAAACCCTAAATCAGATTGTAATTGCCTTGTGGTCCCCAGATCATACCCCTGGTTATAGCAGAACTGATTCTATATTCATGAGACTCACTTCCACCACTGTCACTGCCAATATCAAACTCACCCAGACTCAAAAACAATAAACAACAACAACAACAACAACAACAACAACAACAATGTAGTGTTTATCTGTGCAGGATAGTTTGAAAATGGGATATTTGAAAATTCTGCAAAAAAATTTTTTAATCTGATATAGTAAAATCAGCTTAAGTCCGAAGTGGAACGTAGAACTTTGCTCACAAGGAAAGGGGCACATCACATTAGAAAGGACAGATGGTATTTGCTCAAATATGAGATATGTATGTGCTTTTATTTGTAGAACAAAAAAAGTTTATTAAATAGTCCACCACAACTCCTTGCAATTTTCAAGTGGTTTGCGAGAGTCTGATGGGGAACTGCTCAAGGGCAGAGCTCTAGGTTTCGCAAGGCAACTCAAAAGAGACATAGCTATGGCTGTGGTTGTAGCCACAACACTAGTTGTGTCCTACATTCTAGGTTACTCCTCATGCGTCCTTTCTAAAATGTTAACATTTCCACTTCTTTTAAAAAGTAGCTTTCAGGTACTCTCTTTATTTAAAAAAAATGTCAGGTAACTTTTGTGCAAGGGATAGAAACCAAGTAGGATATTGGAGGGGCTTCCAGCGAGCAGGGACTTGACAGATGGTGCAATTTTCTGCCCTCTGTATACTCCCGCTACCATTTTCTTTCCAGACCTTTTTGCAAAACGAATTAGCTTTGTTTATAGTGCTGGATATACAGCAAATCCACATGTGTGTTGCATCCAATAATATAAACAAAACTTATTTATTATGGGAAAAAATTAATGTGTGTTTTCCAGAATTGCATTTTGTAGGGAATTACTTCTATCTCTGATTCTATAAGCATATTATATTGTCATTTATTTCCCTTCTGCCTTAATATCAGTACAATTATTCACTCTATATCTGCAGAGCTTCCCCTCCCTCTTTGTAGTGCATCTACAGAGCCAGAATGTGCATTCTGTGTGTCAATCATTCAACATGTCTCACCACTGTGGTTTGGTTTTGACCCTTTTGAAAATATATAAATTGTGATAGCTCTGTGAAACTAAAAATGTGAACATTAGTTGTTCCTTTGATGCTTACGGTGGGCTTTCAAAAGAAATGATGCTGTGTCTTGTGTGTTATTGAGTATTATGAAGTTTATGCTATGTTTACAGTGACATTCCTTTCCCCCTCAAGTCTCCTTCAAAAATATCTGAACTTATAACTTGAGCTTTTAGGCTTGGTTAGGATCTGAATAAGTTTTGTGTTCTTAACAAGGTCATTTAGAAAGAATAGTGCACTTAGCTTGATTGTATTTACCTACAAAAAGAACATAAAGT